TTATTCAGTTCTTGAAGTGGTAGTGATTTACTTGTTATTTATTCAGTTCTTGAAGTGGTAGTGATTTACTTGTTATTTATTCAGTTCCTGGAGTGGTAGTGATTTACTTATTACTTATTCAGTTCTTGATGTGGTAGAGATTTACTTGTTGCTTATTCAGTTTCTGAAGTTCCTAAAAGTTTACATTTTAATTGTATGTGGTTAACACTATTATCATCTATATTAATGGCAAATTGTGTTTAAACACATTTGATTGAGTATTTAAGCATTTTCAAAATTAAGATAAGTCAGTTTCAATCTGCTGTTTGTGTGATATAAATGTGGGTACTGTATCTTCTCACATTAGGCCTATTAGAAATTAATACTCGATCAAATTAGTAAAGTCTCTTTTCATTATGCTTAGTTCACTTTTACCTCGACTTATATTCACAGCTAAAATATAACTTAGATTTACTACTGATGCAAAGGGATTTCAATTTTCACACGTTTTCGTCTCTACTGAATCTGTACATGAAAAACTAATTTTGAAGACAAAACTTACAAAGTTAGAGCTATTTCGTGTGACTCTTTATAACAATCGTTCATATTCTGGTTCATCAAATAAAAGCACAAAAATAATGAAGTACACGAACGACTGCACATGTATTTACTGATTGAAGATTTACATCAATGGCTCTCATACTCTTTTGCCTTCAGTCCACTTCAGCTGAGTGAAAGATCCCATGGACCACCTACCAGTCCTATCCCACCCACTTTCACACACAACCACAAAGAAAATCAACAGAATTAAAGAGGAAAATGGCTTTGGTTGTGATGCATGGGTGGCTTGCATTTTGGACCAGCCTTCGGACCACCAGCGGTCCACTGACCACACTTTGAGAACTACCGATATACACTATCAGATGAGATTTTCTTGTATTCCAACAAGATACTTATAACTTTGAACGCGTGTTGTTGTTGTTTTTATCTCTCTGTGACGGTGATGGTTGATAGTGTTGAGTGGGGGGAGGGAAAGGTAATAACGCGTCCAAATACATAATTGGCTGAATTGGTTTAATCACCTTGGCTCAAAATTTTCATTAAAATATATTTTTTCCATTTTTGTTTAAATACTGTAAAAAATCTGGCTATGAAGCTCGTTATTCTGTAAAGCTTAAAAGTTAAAAAAAGAAGAATTAAATAAGAATACATTTGAGAGAATAGAATTTTCCATTAACTCAATATCCCGCACTCCAAAATTACAAAAACAAAGCTTATAATATACGCGTACGAATAGGATAACATGCTGAATTGGGCACGCTGATTAATACAACGTGAGTTCACACCCAAAACATCTAACATCTGTTGCTGCAAGTAAACTACGCAACACAAAAAAGCGCCGAAAGCACTAACTCTGCTGTCTCTAAAGGGGTCACATTAATTACTAATAACTTTCCAACGAATTGCCTGGTTTTGCGTCAATCGGGATTACGGTCGAGAGTCTGACCTGACACCTGTACACCGGAATCTTTGTGAGAAACCGATGAATGAAGGAGGTCACTATAGTTTAATAATGTCACTGAAAACCTACTTATATGAAGTGTAAAGCTTAGAAAGGGCTGTTATGCGCATGCTCTTTGATTCTGGTAGCTAAAATGTCAAGATTATTTAAATTCAAAGCAGTGAAGTATCGAGTTTAAAAAAGAATCTAAGTTGCCTTCAATAACTCTGGAATTTACGACCACCTTAGCAAAGACTGTAACGAAAAACCGAACAGTGAACATTTCAGAATAATAGACTCAGCGAAAGAGGAATGGACACTAACAAAAAAGGGAAGCACTTCTAATCCGTAGCCTACAACCCAAGTTGAACAATCAACTAGCTACGTCACTGTATTTCAAACTATGAACAACTCATCGTGACTGAGACGAGCAAAAAGTGAAAACTTTATCCAATGAATAAGTGTCATTATCGATTGAAATGAAAAAAGCTAAGAAAAGCGGGAACAGACATACTTTCAAAGTCCTTATTCGTGAAGACTTTCCACCTGCACAGCTTGGATGGCCTAAATCAGAGCCAGAGTTCTGAAACATTTTTTGCTGGGCCCCCCTTTGAAAATATTTCAAGCTGGG